AAACGACCCCCACCACTGACTTCAAGCTACAAGCAATCTCCCTGGAGACGACATCTACAGCTGCTGCGGGGGGGAGGGGGAACAGGGTTGGCTTCTGAGCCGGGTTGGCCTCAGACAGGCGTCCTCCCCCCGAGTCCATCCGGAAGTAGGGCGTTTCTGGAAACCTTTCATAAGCCAAGGGAGTAAAAACCCCAGGAACGGTGTCATTCATCCATTCACATACAGATCTGAGCACTGCAGACCCCTAACAGCCAGGCACATCTGAGCCCAGGACCCCCACACCTGGCTGAAATGAGCGACACTGCAACGTGGTCTGCGCGGCACTCTGGGCCCGCGGGTCCACTCACCAGGGTGGCTGCTGGGAGGTGAGGCTGGGGAGCGGGTCCTGGGGTCCCCGGCCACTGTTCCAGCAACTCAGGGGGGCAGCCAGTGCCCTCTGGGCTCCGAGTGCCTGCCCCGATGGAGGGTTTGTCGGGCCCTGCCGGGCGCCGTGGCAAGTCTGGTCTGCATTTTCCACTGGGCAGTTCCTGTGGGCAGCCCGTGCGGTGCGTCCAGGGCCCTTGGCCAATCGAGCGAGAGGCCCCGCCAGGCTCCAGAGGGGGGTTCAGGGCGTTCACTCTGGGGGTGGGGGTCCTGCAGCCTCACAATTCCATTGGCCCAGCGTGACCCAGTGCGCCCCAGCGGGGAGGTGTCTGCGGAGGTGCTGAGATGGGGCCCACCGCTCAGTGCGCAGGCCCTGCTGGGTGGACTGAGGGTAGAAGAGCAGGCTGGGGCGGGGAGGGGGGCTGCTGTCACCCGGATGCCCTTGACCTCGTGATCAGCTGACCCCAAGCCCACGGCCACAGCTCGCTTTGCCATGTACCTGTTGTAAAGGCTGAAAAGGCATTGGCGTGGTCTGCATGCGTGCAAGCGCACAGGCCGAGTTGGAACTGTGTGCACGGAGGCGGGTTGGGGGAGCCGCATGAGTCCACGTATGCGCCCTGGTCACCCCTAAGGTGTCTGGGCTATCACAGAAGAGCCCCCAGCATGTGCTGAAGCTGAGAAGACCCAGCCAGAGTCATGGGCATGCTTGGATGGCCTCGAGGGGAAGGACGCAGCTGGAGGAGGGCGGGGCCCGTGCCCAGTGTGCTGAGGTCCTGGGTTAGACCCCAAAAGTCAACAAAAGGAAATAAATGCACTAAAAGAGGGATTGCTGTTTCTCGATCACAGACCGAATGATTGTCCCCCAAATGGATGACTGCTGAGGCCAAGGCATTCCCGGTCTTGGTTAGAAGTTTCTGTGTTGCATACACTAGAGGGTTTGTATTCCTCCCGAGGATGAGAGGTGCGGCCTGCGAGAGTCTTGCAGAGTCTGGGCTGATCAGGTACCTGGCAGCAACCTCCAGCTGGGCTGCACCAGGAACGGCTCTGGAAATGACACCAGGCTCACACAGGCCTTGACCCCAACCGCAGTATATCCTTCCGCTGGACATGGGAGCACTCTTAGGTCACTGCACCCCAATAACAATAAACATAATGAAATGCAGGCCGGGAGGAGGTGTGCAGTGGCTTCCAGTGCCTGCTCAACCATCTTGCCAGCACGTGGTCTCGAAGCCCGATCTCTGGAACCCCACACGTGCCTGGCGCCATTTGGCAGCTCTTGTGCCACTGGAATGGGAAGGAAATGGGAAGCCGCAGAGGCTGAGCTCTGACATGATGGGGGGATGGGGACCCTTCCAGATCAGGGCAAGGGGGAAGATGAGGGCTTTCTCGGAGCTCTGAAATAGTCATGAACTCTAAATATTTTTTATTTCTTTCTGGCATTTGGGTCACTTTCGGTGGTGCTCAGGACTTACTCCTGGACCTGTGTTCAGGAAATCACTCCTGGCAGAGCTTGGGGAGCGCTATGGGGTCAGCTGTGTGCCAAAAAAAAAAAAAAACTTAAAACCTGCTCTAGCACCAGTTTTTTAACTATTTACTAAGTCCTAATCGGAGGAAGTGGACAGGTGGACAGTCCCCTTTCCTTGGGGGAAGCATGTAAGCATGTGACGTGTTGGTTCCCTTAGCTCCTGGTTGTTTGTTGTTTGGGGACCACACCTGGTGATGCTCAGGAAGTACTCCTAACTCTACACTCAGAAATTACTCTTGACACTCACCCCAAGAGGATACCGGGATTGGACCGGTTCAGCCCTGTGCAAGGCCAGCACCCCTGTCTCTCCAGCCCTTCCATTAGCATTTGGGCAGCGAATGTTCTTTGGTTATTAAGACAAGGATTCAGAGGTTAAGGGATGCACCTCAGGTGACAGAACCGCCCACCCTTGCCCACCCCACGTCCAGCTTGCTATAGACTGAGCCCCAATGCCAAGAAGAGGAGACCCAGCATCCATGTTCTCACACCCATCTACAGTTAAGTCCGCCAGGGGCTGCAGAGGAAGTCAGCGCCTGCTGGGATGTGCTGGGCCCAGAGGAAAGCTCTGAAGGTGTCCACACAACTGTCTGGAGCAAGGGGAGGAGTAGTAAAATTCAGAGACGCGTCTTCACTGGGGACGTCTTGTTCCTGCCACGACTCCCACGTGCTGTGTGGCCATGGCAACTTGGCGCCACCGAGGAGGCAGGTGAATTCTGCCTCTACTGTCCACTCGAGTGAGATCCAGGGCCGAGGACTGCACCCTCATTCCCTCCCCCCGAAAAAAATAAACCAAAGTACCAAGGTGGAGCATCGGGACCAGCAGGCAGCAAAGTCAGCCACACGCCAAGGTCAGCAAATTTTATCCCGCAGGAAAAGAACCAATGAAGAATTGCTTTAGGCAAGGGAATGACCTCAGCAGCATCGCTGTCCCAGTGAGAATAACAGCAATGTCCACAGAGCAGTGAGGTGTCCAGGGCTACTAGCCCTCCACTGCTACCCCCATCACCCAGAGCTGAGACGGATTACACCTGACCAGGGACCAGCCCTGGGACAGAATCCGGATTCTGCCTGGGAGCCTCGGCTCTCTCTGCTCCTCATCCCGCTCCAGGCTCATCATTTTCTCTAGCGGATCCTGGGCAGCCCCTGGGGCAGATGCCTTGGGAACCCACATTCTGCCCTGGCTGCAGAGGGTCAGCTTTAAGGGGACAGCAAGGAAGACCAGATGAACAGCGCAGAGACAGGCAGGGCGGGAAAGTGCACAGGAGTGAATCTTCAACAGCGAAGGAGGCATCCACCTGTTTGGCCTTCATTTGCGCCTGTGCCGCAAATTAAAAAAAAAAAGCTATCAGTGTCAGAGTTGCGGGTGTGTGGCGGTGCCGTGGTCCCGGCACTATTTCTTGAAGACCCTGTCCTCTGTCCATGTGGGTGCTCTGTCTGATTTCCCTTTTCTGTGAAAGACAAAGGAGCCAACGCAACAGAACAAACGAAGGCGCTTAGCTTATCAGAAGGAAACAGTGGTCGCCCTGGGGAGGGGGGACGGGTAAGTCGGGGCCAGGGGACACGCTGTGGGGAGCTGGACACGTCTCTGAGCGGCGGGTGCTCGGGGTGAATATATTCCCGTGCTGCATTATGAGCGCGCTCGACCGGAGAATCCTATCAACTGCTACCGCATCAGCTAGGGTGGCTAATTTTTTTCCTTTTACGAAGAAGGGAATAAGGGTGCAGAAGTTGCCTGTTGGGGGTGTGTGGGGGTGGGGGTGGGGATGCTAGGATTGGACCCGGAGTCGGAGGCTTGGCAAATCCAGGACTTGGCGGTTTCTCCAAGGCGCGTGGGGGTGGGCGCCAGATTGCTGGGGGCTCAGAAATGAGTGGGAGGTGGGGACCAGGCAGAGCAGTAAACTTACTCTTTCAAGAAATGAGATCGCAGGGTGGGAGCTGGTGGCAGGAAGGGTTTTGGGGGGTGGGGGTGGGAAGAGGCAGGAAAGGAGAAGCGAAAACCCACCAGACGGGGTAGGGGGGAGCCTTGCAGAGAAAGCCTTCCCTCCTCCCCTCTGAGGGCCAGGGATGGACAGACAGAGGGCAGGGCCCATGGGAAGTGCTACGGTGGGGAATGACAGGGGTGGCTGGCTGGGTCAGACCTGTGTCTCCGACAGACAGACATTCGCCTCTCCCCGTCTTCCCCCTCCCTCCTCCCTCTGCTCCCTGGAGTTACCGGGCCCCTGCTCCATGCCAGGCCTGGGGCTTGGCTTGTGGCTGGCAGAGAACCAGGCGCCCCTAGCAGGCCCCAAGGTTTCTGCGGAGCACGGCGGGGGGCTAAGAGCGTGGGCAGGAGGCTCGGAGCCCCAGTTCCAGCAGGAGCCAGGAGGAGTGGGCGCCTGGGGGGGAAGCCGGCAGCTCCCAGGACGCAGGCGGAACCGGCTCTTCTCCAGTGCCCTTCTCCAGCCGAACGGGCCTCTAGGAGATCAGCGAGCGCGCACGCACGCACCGGGCCAGGTGCGCCCAGCTGCAGGTCCTGGTGCCTGGAAGATGAGCCGGAGACGGGATGCAGGGAGGGCGCGTGGGGACTCGGTCCCGGAGAGGCCAAGGGGACGAAGGGAGCGCGCAGGGTGCTCGCGGGGCTCAGACCGCGCGTAAAGTGCTCGCTCGTGGTGCCCGGAGCGCGCGGGGTACTCGCAGTGCCGGGCGCGCGCAAAGTACTCGCGGTGCTCTGACCGCACACAAAGTGCTAGCGGTGCACGGAGCGCGGAGGGTGCTCGCGTGCCGGGCGCGCGCAGGGTGCTCGCGGGGCCGGGCGCGCGCAGGGTACTCGCGGTGCTCTGACCGCGCACAAAGTGCTCGCGTGCCGGGCGCGCGCAGGGTGCTCGCGGTGCTCTGACCGCGCACAAAGTGCTCGCGTGCCGGGCGCGCGCAGGGTGCTCGCGGGGCCGGGCGCGCGCAGGGTGCTCGCGGGGCCGGGCGCGCGCAGGGGGCCGGCGGCGGGGCCGGCGTGGGCGCCGCGAGGGCCGGGCCGCCCGGGGCGCCGCGTCCTGGGCCCGAGCCCCGGCCCGGCCCTCGGCTCCACCCCCGGCTCCCCCGCCCGCCGCCCGCGCTCCTGAAAAGCCCGCGGCCCGGGCGGCGGCGCAGAGCGGGCGCGCAGGGGGCAGCAGCGCGGCCATGACGGCGGACCAGGCGCTGCCGCTGGGCAACGGGCAGGCGGCCGAGGAGGCGCGCGAGGCCGGGGCGCCGGGGGGCTGCGCGGTGGCGGCGGCGGCGGCGGCGCGGGCCCCGCGCGACAAGGCGGTGCACGAGCGCGGCCACTGGAACAACAAGGTGGAGTTCGTGCTGAGCGTGGCGGGCGAGATCATCGGGCTGGGCAACGTGTGGCGCTTCCCCTACCTGTGCTACAAGAACGGAGGAGGTGCGGGGCGCGCGGGGGGGCGCGGGGACCCGCGGGGGGCGGGCGGCGACCCCCCCCAGCGCGCGCGCCCCGGCGGAGCCCACCCGGGGCCGCGGCGCGCACGTGCCGCTTGGCACTCGCAGGTGCCACCTGCTCCCCGGGCCGACAGGCACTTGTGGCGTGTGGGCCGCGCCTGGCGCGGGTGCCAGCTCCCTTCCTCCCCCTCCCCTGGGTTCTGCCTCCACTCACCTGTCGGTGCGGTGCCGGGTGCGGTTCCCCAGCCCAGGACGCCAGGTCACTTCCTAAGTGACAGGCGCTTGGCCCGCTGACTGGCTGCGCTGCCCCTCCCCCCACCCCCGGAGGAGGACGGCACCCTGGCTCGGGCAGTCCGGGAAGCCCCCCCACCCCCCCTTCACCTCGGAGCGCTCTTCTCTGGAGTCTGGTTGCTGGGAGCCGCTGGGCACTCGAGGCTCTGGGATGCCCACCCCCAAATACAACTCCCCGGTTTGATGTCAGAGATGCTGAAAACTGGGCAGGAGGGGGTTGGGACAGGAAGACCAGTTCCCTATGGTGACCCCACACGGCAGGGGACCCTCTGGCTGTCCTGCTCTGGACCCCAAAATCAGGAGGCCCCACGTGTCACACCGGGTCATCCAGCCAGAGACCCCATCAAAGTGTCCTAGGGGGTGAGGCCTGGGTGGTAGTACAGTGGGGAGGGCGCTTGCCTTGCACGTGGCCAACCTGGGCTCAGTCCCTGGCACCCTATAAAGTCCCCCGAGCACCGCCAGAAGGAACTCCTGAGTGCAGAGCCTGGACTAAGTCCTGAGCACTGCTGGTGTGGTCCAAAAACAACCCCCCCAAAAAAATGTCTTCGGGGCTTTGATTCACCAGAAAAAGCTTCTTTCTGCTGGGGCCTCCAGGCTAGTGACGAGGGGAGGGAGAGTTGGGGGGGGGGGGGGATTCTGCACAGCAGTATAACGAGGCCCCTTCCGGGGCCCTTTCCCCAGCCTGTGACGTCCATCCTGAGGGCACAGGCTGCCTCCCGCCTGCTGGGCCCTGGGAATGAGTGGCCAGTGGTGGTGGCTCGGCACGGGGAAGGGAGCTAGTGGACACAGAGGTCCCGATGGGCCCTGGCAGGCCCAGGAAACTCGCCACCCACACACAGGCGCCCTAAGTTGGCTGTAGGCTGGGCAGGTGGGGGGGGGGGCAAGCCAGTGGGAGGCCGTCCCAGGCAAAATTTGCAGTGACATCTCTTATGAAGCAGAAAATGGCTAGACCCAAACAGAAAGCAGTCCCAACAGGACTCGGGAGTCGGGTTCATTACAAATTCTGCCGCAGATTGGAGGGGAAAAAAAAGAAAGTTGTAGTAAGTAAAGTTTTCAAATGAGTCATTATTGTTCCTTTTTACGCGAACTTGCCAAGCGTCTTTGCTGGGCACACAGACTCCTGGTTTCACGGCGAGAGTCTTCACGATGACTAGCTTTGGGGATCCATGGGAAAAGGCTTCCTGGAGCTGTGCTCTGTCGTGTTCTCTGGAGTCTCAGATCAATTGCAAGATTGTCAGGAACCTTCCACCGCGGGTGTATGCCCCTGAGATTCAGACCCTACGGACCTCAGTAGGGCCTCCTCCAGCCTCCTCCCTTCGGCTTGACTTGAGAATCTTTTATCCAGGTTGACCTGGTGGAAAAAACCCAAATCTATCTCCCCACCCCATAAGCCCTAACAATAGTTTACAGGAATTTCTTTCCCAATGTGAACCTTTAAAAATAGGCTCTAGCCAGCACAGCTAAGACCCTCTCAAAGCCCAGGGCCGCGGCCCCATCAGAATCTTTCCCAATGTTGCCATTAATCCCGAGGCTGAAGAGATTTCATGCGGCAAAAAAAAAAGCAATTTCAGGTAAAGCCTTTGTTTCTGAGGGCAGGTGGGGGATGATGGCGTCGGCCTTGTTATTGGATGGGAGAGAGAAAGAGGGATTTGGGAAAAGCCCTTTCTGCTGCCTGTGGTTCCTGGTCCCTCTCAGTTATTTAATTCGTTTCACAGAAAGGCCCAGGCGAGGCGATCGTGTTTCAGGACAGGAGTGGGCAGGGCTGGGTGGTCTGCCCTGGGGTCAGTCGTGCCTACTCGCTGGAGGGTGGATTCTGGGGACAGACTCCTGGATGCCCCCCTACCCCCCATCTCTCCAGTCCTCCTTGTCATATGCTTTTTATCGCCAAAAAATAAACCAATTATATATATATATATATATATTTATATTTTAGTGCAGTCACCTGGCCTGCTGACTGTACTTGTGGATGCAAAAGAAGATTTAGGGAGGGGCCGGGATAGTGCTGAGGGGGGAAAAGCATCAGAGGAAGGGGGCTCGAGCGAACAGGCTTGCCGTCCCTGCCTAGCAGAGGCCGGCTGTGTGTGAAATCCCATTCTGCAGATGGACAAGTGGAGGCAGGAAGCCGGAAGTGAGGCGGACTCCTCCTGCAAGAGGCGTGAGGCTTTCTGAGGTTTCCTGGCCTCACGAGACAAGAGAGTCTTCTTTTTTCTTTTCCCCCATTTTTCCTTTCGGGCCACACTGGTGGTGCTCAGGGCTTCCTCCTGACTCTGTGTTCAAGGATCGCCCCTGGAGGTGCTCGGGGACCATCTATAGTGCCGGGGATGGATCCCGGGTCCCTGTGTGCCAGGCCAGCGCCCTCCCCATTGCCCCCTGGCTCCAGCCCTGCGAAGGTGCCTGCTTCCCACGGGACTGTCCCACATGCACGGGTGATGCGGGGGTGGGGGGGGCCAGTGGCAACCTGAGCCCCCTTTCTGCACCCCCAGGGGCCTTCCTGATCCCCTACGTGGTGTTTTTCATCTGCTGCGGGATCCCCGTGTTCTTCCTGGAAACGGCCCTGGGCCAGTTCACCAGCGAGGGCGGCATCACCTGCTGGAGGAAGGTCTGCCCTTTATTTGAAGGTGAGTGCGGAGGGTTCCGGAGAAGAGCAGGACAGGGGGCGTGGGCACAGGGGAGGGGTGCGGGCCGCAGAGCCGGGCGAGGCCCGGGACACCCACGTGCCCCTCCCGTCCGCCCCGGCAGGGATCGGCTACGCCACGCAGGTGATCGAGGCGCACCTCAACGTCTACTACATCATCATCCTGGCCTGGGCCATCTTCTACTTGAGTAACTGCTTCACCACCGAGCTGCCCTGGGCCACGTGCGGCCACGAGTGGAACACGGGTGCGTGTACAGGGAAGGGCGCTGCTGTCGGGGGGTGGGTGGGAAGGTCGGGGGCGGCGCATAGCACCCACACGCGGGCTTGTCTGGGAGACCGAGCCTGACTGACTCTGACCCCGAGCCGGCCCCGTTTCCTGGGGTGGCCTCATGAACTGGGGTGCTTGCTGAAGACAGCGTGAGCCCATGGGGGCTGGGGGGGTGGGCGAGGAAGAAGCATCCGCCAAGCTGCGGGACCTGGGTGCCGGCCCTGCCGCTCTGCGTGCCGGCTCGGGGTTAGGCGAGGGTCTTTGTGGCGACGGTCCCCAGAGCGCGTGGAGGTGCGCAGCCTGCTGCTAGGACGTCGTCGAAATCTCTTTGGCTGCCAAAATGGAAAAATCAAAGTGCACGAGAAAAATCCAGATTCCCGCCTCTTTGGTTATAAAAAAGGTGAAGACCGTCTCGGAACTTCCCCAGTTCCGTGGCTGAGCAGTGGCTCCGTCCACGGCCCTCCCCCAGCCCACTTTGACCGTTGGCTTTCCCTGCCCACCGGGTCAATATTTGAAGTCACCGCCTGCCCCTGCCCCCTCTCCTGGCTGTGTTTGCTCTCCGTGACCGTGTCGCCCGGAGCAGATGGGTTCACGTCCCGCTCCGAGAAGCCATTTCTCCGGGCAGGCATCAGCCTGGACTGTCTCCGTGAGAGCAAGGCCCAGCAGCCCCGTGTCTGGGGCTGGCACCAGGCTGGATGCCTTCCTTGTCCCTGGGTGGGAAGAGGTGCTGGGGTGTCCCTGAAGCAGTGTGACCTCTGGGGGCCCAGGCAGCATGTGGAGCCCAGCAGGCATGGAGCTAGAACGAGCCTCTGCTCCTGTCATCCCGACCCGCATTCATGGGGCTTTAATTGTCTCCTTCTTGGGTCCTGCTCTTGCAGGGGGGGTCTCCCCAAAATCTCGGGGCCACTCCTGGTAATTCTCGGCCAACTGAACTAACCGTTCAGTACCCGGGCCCGAGGGTGCTGCATAGCCTTGCAGGGCTGAGAACCACTCAGGACCCCTGAGTGGTGACGGGGTCGGGGGCCTCTGGGACTGCACTTGGCAGTGCTCAGGGGACCATGTGGGGCTGGGGACTAACCCGGGTCAGCTGCCTGCAAGGCACCTGCCTTAACCCCGCTGCTATCTCCCGGCCTGGTTCTGCTTCTTCGCCTGCTCCTGACCACCTCTCCGAGATGGTTATGAAACTACCATCCCAGGATGCTTTCCTGGGGGCCTCCACGTTCTCCTCCACAGCCAGCATCAGACATGTTTATCCCGAGGTCAGTCGACCAGTGCGGGCATGTTCTGGACAGCCTGTGAGGTGCCCCTAGGACAGAGGACAGGGGCAGCTGTGCCAGACTCAGTGTGTTTGCATTTGAGGAACAGTTCTGGCAAACTAGCTGTAGGCAGCTCAGGCCTGCTCAGGGCACCACGGCCACCAGAGCGCGGCCAGGGGACCTGCGTGGTGGAGTTGCCGCTCAGGGCGCCTGAGGAAGCAGCCTGTGGCCGGGTCGGCCTGCACCCCTTCCCTGGCCCTCTGGTGGGTATAGTGGCTCAGCCTGGCACACCCTTCTCTCCGAGCATCCTGGATGTTCCGTTTGTTTATTAGTCTTCATGTTGCAAACTTAACTTCTGGTTTTCTAGTTGTAGAGATCCAAGAAGTGGCCAGGACTTTAGGAGTCCTTGCTTATCTGTGCGTGATTGAACATAATTTTAACAGAAACTCCTGGTCAACCTCGGGTGTCTAAGGAAAGTTCTTTACCCTGGGAAGTGATTGAGGTGTGCGTGTTCAGAGAGTCTCATCGGGGCTCAGGGCTCCTGTGCTCAGGAAAGGCACATCTGGGTGTTTTGCAGCCAACATAGAGTGTCCCAGTTCCTGGGGGGTTCTGGGGACCCCAGATTACCCCCTTCAGGTCAGGAGGAGGGAGGGAGTCTCCTGATTGACCACGAGCTCTGCCGTTCGTTGTACTGGCTCTTTGTCCATGGCTGGTGGACACTAACATGCCGGGCTGCTCTTGCCTCTGCTTCCCAGGTGTGGCTAGAAGCCTGGATGCTGGGTGTTGACTCTGCTGAGAGATTGCCTGGGAACCTCAGAGAGGCCTAGGTCCCATAGAGACGCTTGACACCCTAGAGAGGCCTAGGTCCCATAGAGACGCTTGACACCCTAGAGAGGCCTAGGTCCCATAGAGATGCTTGACACCCTAGAGAAGCCTGGGAACTCTAGAGAGGCCTGGGTTCCACAGAAATTCCAGACCATTCTAGAGTCACATGAGTTCCATATAGAGGCCCTGGCATCCTATAGAGGCCTTGGAATACTAGAGAACCTGGTCCCATAGAGACCTAGGACCCATAAAGAAGCCTAGGTATCCTAGAGAGGCCGGGAACCCTAGAGAGTCCTGGGTTCCATGGAGAGTTCAGGGTGACCCAGAGAGACCCTGGTACCTTGCAGTGCAAAGTTCAAGACAACCCCCAGGTTAAGGAGGGGGTGTTATGGAGATGATCTCCACCTCGGCCTCTCACGGGGATGTGGACTATGGGGGACATGGTTTGGGTGTGGGTCCCACGTGACTGCTCTGAACCCTAGATTACCTCTCTTCCAAGTACAGCTGGCTTTAGAAGGGGGCTCCTGGGGATCCTCCCATCCTCCCTCTCTTAGCACCCATGGTGGAGTGCAGGGTGCTGCCAAGCAAGCTCTTCACCCTCTCCCTTGAGATCCTTGGCCTTAGCATCCTTGAGCCTGAAGGAGACACTGCATCCTTTTGGGAACGGTGGGTCTGTTCCTCTTCCTGAGGCAGCTGGGACGTTAGCCTTTTCTTCCCTTGAACAGTGGCCTCGGTTGCAGCCCCTCCTCTGGGGGCCCCCTGGTCACCTCGCATCTTTAGTGCCCCCTCCCCAACAGCCCCCCTGAGGAGCACGGTCTAGGGACGACCTGACGATGGCACTGAGCTGGGCTGGGGGCTGCTTCTGAGTCAGGCCGAGCAGTAAGGGACCGCGTCTGTTAATGATTCCCCCGCGGTGCCTTTGAGGCTGTTTGCTCGGAGCCCGGGTGAAGCTGCCAGGTTGCGCCATCGGCCGGAGCGTTTCCCCAGATCGGCCCTCGTGGGCTCACCCGCTCTCGTCCTCTGTCCCCGCAGAGCGCTGTGTGGAGTTCCAGAAGCTGAACGCCAGCAACCACAGCCACGTGGCCCTGCAGAACGCCACCTCCCCCGTCATGGAGTTTTGGGAGTAAGTGGGAACGATGGGTCTCCCCAGCCCGGCGCCCGTGGGCCTCTGTCCCGTGTCTGCAGTGGGTCAGGGACCCTCCCTCCCTCCAGCCGTGGGCCATCTGGGCACTGGCTGTGACGAAGCCGGGTGAAGCGGCGGAAGTTTCCCAGGGGCAGCTGGGAGAGACGCTGCCCCGTCCCGCCTGGCCTGTCCCTGTGCCCAGCGAGTGCTTGGGGAAGTGATGGACAGCGGGCTGGGACACAGGACAGCGGTCAGGGCACGTGCCTGGCAGGCGCCTGGCCTGACCTCAAGTCCTGGCCCCACGTGGTCACCTGAGCGTCACCGGCTGCAGACCTTGGGGCCCGCAGCTTCGCAGGGGTGACTTGGGGGTCCCTGTCACGTCACTGCAGTCCTAGGATCTCGTGTTAAACCACCGGCCCAGTGGGGCTGGGAACTGCCAAGGGGGCCATCACCTCCAGAACACACGGGAAGCCCCACCCCTCACAAGAGAACAGACAGTGCACACATTCTTTCCTCTCTCTCTCTCTCTCTCTCTCTCTCTCTCTCTCTCTCTCTCGGCAGGGGTTTGGCTGCACATACAGGGAGCACTCCAATATCGCTCTTTTTTTTTCTCTTTTTGGGTCCCACCTAGTGATGTACAGGGGTTACTGCTGGCTCTGCACTCAGTAATCACCCCTGGCGGTGCTCAGGGGACCATATGGGATGCTGGGAATCAAACCTGGGTCAGCCACATGCAAGGCAAACGCCCTCCCCACTGTGCTATCGCTCCAGCCCTGACTCCGGGATCACTCTTGGCTGGGCTTGCGGGACCTTACAGGGTGCTGGGGATTGAACCCAGGTCAGCTATGTGCAAGGCAAGTGCCCCCCCACCCTCTGTACTCTCTCTCTCTCTCTCTCTCTCTCTCTCTCTGACATTCATTTATGACAAGCAAGAAGAGCACAGTTCTTCATAAACTGAGTCAAAAGTCTCTTTAGCCTCGTGTGGGGAATCGCCACTCTAAGACTGGGCCCAACTGCCCCCTTCAGCTCTGTCCAGCAGAGTATCACAGAGAGTGAATCACAGGCAGGGACTGTCCAGACGGCAGCAAGCCTGGCGGCCAGATGCCCCAGGAGGAGGGGAGCGGGAGGGTGGAGATCTGAATGAGGCCAGTGCTCTGTTCCCACGCCATGTCTGCACGCGCTCCCAGGGGACCGACGAGGGTACACCCCGGGAGGCGGTTCCCGCCTTGCCCAGAGACTGTGACCTGGAAGTCCCTGTCCAGCCCCGTGTGTCGGTCCCTGCACATCCCCACACACTGGGCCCGTGGTGCCAGCTCCCATGGTCCTGGGCTGGTTTGCACCCTCTGCACCCAGCACCCACACAGGAGTGTCGGGCCACTCGCCCTTGCCCCGGAGCCGAACAGAAGTTGGGTCATTGGTTGGACCCGACGCGTTCTGATGCGTTTCCATCTGAGGTCTGGCTTCCCTGCAGGATCCCAGTTGGTGCAAATTAGGAGCTGCAGAGAGCGTGGTGGGATTTGTCCCAACACAGATTTGGAAGGGGATTATGCCCCTGGCCGCGCGGGTCCAGAGACCCGAAGACTTTCTTGCACTTTCCAAGTGTGTGTTAATCGTGCCCTTCACTGACGGCTTCTTTCAGGGCTTCTTTTTCTGGGGCTCTCCCTGCTGTGTCCATGTGGATCCGGGTGGATCCGGATGTTTCCTTCTCTCCCACCTCTGTCCTTCTCACGGAGCATCCGGGCTGCACGGGGTTTAGCCGGCCTCCGGCATGTGCACATTTTAGTCTCCTGCTTCCCGCTGTTGTCTCGCGTGCTGTCTTTCTTTCTTTCTTTCTTTCTTTCTTTCTTTCTTTCTTTTGCTTTTTGGGTCACACCCAGCGATGCTCAGGGGGGACTCCTGGCTCTGCACTCAGGAATTACTCCTGGCGGTGCTCGGGGGACCATATGGGATGCTGGGAATTGAACCCAGGTCGGCCTCGTGCAAGGCAAACGCACTCCCCACTGTGCTATTGCTACGGCCCCAGTGCACTGTATTTCTGTGGATGACAGTGAGAGTTTCCAGGCCTCGTCCCAGGAGGGATCAGTGCCAGTGCGGCCGGCTAAGGTCAGATCCCTTTCTAAAGGGAGCGTTGCAGGTTACCCTCCCAAAAAACGTGTCCAGCCATCCTCCTGTCTACACAGTATCTGGGGCGATCAGAGGTTGTCAGTTTGTCCATGGGCCAGGTGTGAAATGCTCTTGCATTGTTTTAACTCTGCGTTCCTCGGGCCGGGGGCATAGTGGTCAGTGCACTGCCCTGCACGTGAACAGTCCTAGTTTGAGATCCCCAACTCAGTTCACACACACACACACACACACACACACACACACACACACACACACACACACACGACCTCCCTGAGCATCAGCAGACACAGCCCTGGTGACCCCCAAGCACTGCTGGGATGAGCTTGGTGAATCCCTGGACCACAGAACCAGGCAGCCTGCATCTATTCCTCACTGCCTGGTCGGTTGGTCAAGTGTAACAGTGAGGGACTTGGGACTCCCTGAGCGCGCTGTGAGGACCCCAGTCCCCTCCCCTCCTGAGTTTGAGCGTCTCTGTCTCTTACTCTTTAAGTTGTTTCCTCTGGGACTCTCCCGCTAGCCTCTCCCGGTCACTTGTCTCCCAGGCAGGAATCTGGGCTGGGTCCCGGGCCCACCATTTCCTGCCCCGACTTCTCTGTTTACAGCCTCTGAGCATCTGCCACAGTCAGATTTGCTTATTTTTCCTTAGTTTCCTTCTACAGAGTCGTATCTTTTTTTTTTTTGGTCAGTTTTCCCCGATGATTTTTTTTTTCTTTTTGGGTCACACCCGGCGATGCTCAGGGGTTACTCCTGGCTCTGCTCTCAGAAATTACTCCTGGCGGTGCTTGGGGGACCATATGGGATGCTGGGAATCGAACCCGGGTCGGCCGCGTGCAAGGCAAATGCCCTCCCTGCTGTGCTATCGCTTCAGCCCCCCCCCCCCCATGAGTTTTAAAGTGCTCATTTGCCCATTTATAAACAGAACCTATTTGAAATTTATTCTTGCACATGACTTGAAGCAGAAAGCCAGCTTCATTTGTTGATTTTACTATTGGGCGGGTGGGGGAAGGGCTGTTCTCAACGGACAATTCTCAGTTGATCCGACTGGCAGGTCAGTGTAAGGGCTCCGGGAAGCGGAGCCATTCAGGCCCCAGGTCTCCCTGGCACACCGGGGGGCCTTCAGGGACACGGGGCGACATTCGGGAACCACATGGTGCCGGGGATGGGACCCAGGTTGGGCGCAGCTAGGGATGTGCTCTAACCACTGAGCTCTCTCTTTCTATCTTATAGAAATAGCCCAAGTCCTCCTGCTGTACTTTATGAATCATTCACCCCTTTCCCTACTGGCTTGCGATGTCATTTTCCTCTCACGGATCTCCTGAAGCATCGCCAGTGTGGGGGCTCTCTGTTCTGTTCCCGTCCGAGGACCACACCTCTAGTTTTTTTCTTTTTATTTCTGGGTCACACCGGGAGATGCACAGGGGTTACTCCTGGCTCATGTGCTCAGCAGTTACTCCTGGCGGTGCTGGGGGGACCGTACAGGATGCTGGGGATTGAACCCGGGTCGGCTGTGTGCAAGGCAAACGCCCTCCCCGCTGTGCTATCGCTCCGGCCCCCACACCTCTAGCTTTACCCTAAGTCGTGGACTGGTCAGGCAAGTCCCCATTTTTACTTCTCCCGCCTCCCCTTTCCACAGTGGTCTTCCTAAGGAACGTTAGCGGCAGCCTGTCAGGTTAAGGCAACTGACACAGAGCAAAGGTCTCCCTGGGGCTTTTGGCTGGATACAAATTGAGCTTAACAGTTCCTTGAGAAAAGCCAGTGTTGCTGTGTGAGCCGCCCAGTCTGTGAACAAGGTATATTTCTCTCCGATCATTTTAGTCTCTCCAAACCCCCGAGAGAGCAGAGCACTGTGAATGTCCTCTGCAGAGCGACGGTGTTGCCATCACCTGCTTCGAGTACGGGTTCTGCGGCTCCCGACACCCCCACATGGCCCGATGGGGTGAGGGTGTGGTTGCTGGTGTTGCGGGAGTTGGGCGGCCTTTGCCAGCCTTGCCCATCCGGGGCACCCCAGAGAAATGTCCCAGACATGTGTGGGGGGCTGCAGAGCCCTCGCAGAACCTGCTGTCCGCCACCCCCACGGTGAGCCTGTGTGCGTCATTTCCGTGTGACTCGTGCAGAAAATGCCGTCGGGGCAATGTGTGTGTGTGTGTGTGTGTGTGTGTGTGTGTGTGCGCGCGCGCGCGCTACGTGCCAGGCGACGGGGCTTCCAGGGGGCGCAGGGCAGGACAGCCTCTTTGGGGGTCACCTCCTGTGACGGGACCCACGGACACTTGCAGCGTGGATGGAGGAGGGGAGGAGGCACTGGCCAGGCTGCCTCTGGGGCACCTGCCGTGTCTGCCTGACCCACTCGTTCGGGCAATGTGCGTCCTCCCCTGCCCGCTCAGCTGCGGGTGGCTCAGGGCGAGTGACCGGGGAAGGAGTTGGGGTCTGCCTTCCTGTGCCAGGGCTCTCTCCGGGCTGTCGAGGTTTGCACCCAAGGGTGCAGGAGCTCCCCTTGACTCTTATCCAGCCGCTCTGTCCCGCTTGTCCCCGTGGTGCACTTGGACAGAGGCCGGGAGGTGGTCATGCAGCTGTTGAAAGTCTTGGGGTGGTGGCAGTGGGAGGGACACCAGAAGCACATGCTCCCCTGAGAATGCCCACAGGCCCCGGGAGCTCGGCCCCCCCGCGCTCACCTGGGGGGGCTGGACACTTGGTGGGGGGCCCGATACTTGCTGGGAGCTGCTCTCCCTGGAACGCAGCCCATTTGCATCTGGGGATGGGGGTTGCCCCCAACACGCAGTTTTCTGACCCCATGAGCACTGTCTTGGGCTCCCAGAAGAGGCTTCTTTTCTGGGGTTCCCATCGTCTCCACATGCCTCTCATCTGCCCATCACGGGGCC